GTACACCCGTTAGAAAAACAGCAGCAAATAAATAAAATAAAGACTATAAAAATAATCTAAAGCTGGCATTTTTCTGATGCAGGCCAAAGTAAAAATGCCATAGGGCCTTCAGGTTGCGGTGACGCGACCTGGGGGCCCTATTCCAACCTCGGGTCCCGTGAGGGGCCCGTGTGTAGGCTTTCARCATGTAACACGCCCCCCTCCTTATGAAGACGAGCCGGGGCGCGGGCGAAGCTGCCGATCCGATGGCGGAATGTAGCGAGGATGGCGAGGAGAGGGAGTGCTCTGCGTAGTCTTCCCTTTGCTAAGATAGCGTGAGAGAACGGCGGGGGBTGTGGCCTGCAGTTCCGAACGCGTCAGCCAACGGTCAGCCTTGTGGCTGCAGTAGGAAAAGTGAAGTAGAAACTTTGTTTCTTTGTTGCCATGGCGCCGGTCAGTGATGATGTAGCTGGCCTCCTGAAATCCGTCCATGGAAGGAGGGTCTTGCGTACGCCGACCGGGAAACTCGTCGTACTCCGCTGAAACAAAAGGAGCGAGTTTGGAACAGTGGAACACCGTGTGGATGGGCAAGTGAGGTGGCACCGCGATGAGGAATGAGGGCCCCTCGGGATCATCACCAGCTGCAGAGAGAATGCGCCAAGGCCCCATCCACTTGGGAAGGAGCTTGCGAGAGATGTCTTGCTCAAGGCTGAACTCCGCTGCGGAGACCCAAACTAGATCGCCGGCGTGGAACGGGCAAGGAAGGCGATTGCGGTTGGCTTGACGACTCATCCGTATTTGCGTCTTCGACATCTGATCCCGTGCCTTGACAAGAAGCTCTTGCATGCGACGAAGGAACGCAAGATGGCCGTCGCTCTCGGCTATGCGCGGCAAAGTAGCGTCCAGCGGCGATGAGATGGGTGAACCATGCTCAAACTCGAACGGCGACATCCCGATAGCCGGGTGGATCGATGAGTTGTAAGCCAACTCAACGTCTAGCAAGCGTTCAACCCAATCAACCTGGTCGGGACGGATGAGAGTGCGGAGAAGGACTTGAGCGGTCTGATGCGCCCTTTYYGTTTGACCATCGGTTTGCGGGTGGCGAGCCGAACTCGGCTTCAAGGATGAGCCCCATCGCTTGACGAGGGCGACCTAAAAGTCGGAGAGAAAGCGAGTGTCTCGGTCGCAAACGATCTCCTTGGGGTAGCCCTTGGAGTGAGTCCAACCGGTGTATAAGACCTCGGCTAACTCCGGTGCCTTTGCGTGATAGCGGCAAGGCAAAAACATGGCGTACTTGGTGAGGCGGTCGACGACCGTGAGGATCCCATCAACGCCGGTCTTGTGCTTCGGGAAGGGGCCGGTGATATCCATAGCAATTGCTTCCCGTCGCCCAAGGGGCACTGGTAATGGGTGTAGCTCGCCGAACGGACGATGGTTGCGTGATTTGCAA